TGATTTTACCATGTATGCATGCAGTCTTTACCTTTCAGGTAGTGACTTTGGTGAATATTTAACCCATCCATGTAGCCAACCCATTAATCTTCAGGGAGATAGATGAAGTGAATATTTACCATATCCATGTATGCATGCAGTCTTTACCTTTCAGTAGTGACTTTGGTGAATATTTAACCCATCCATGTAGCCAACCCATTAATCTTCAGGGAGATAGATGAAGTGAATATTTACCATATCCATGTATGCATGCAGTTTTTACCTTTCAGCTAGTGACTTTGGTGAATATTTAACCCATCCATGTAGCCAACCCATTAATCTTCAGTGAGAGTGATCAAGTGAATATTTACCATATCCATGTATGCCTGTAGCTAGATCATTACCTTTAATGTTTGTGATCTTGGTGAATGTTTACCATACCTATGTATATGCATGTACATATATAATGACACAAAATGTACAACATTTAGTTGGTATGTGAACAGTAATGATACTACTTAGGTCAACGCTAGCTTCTAGCAGGGATTTGTCCTACTGCAGTCACACAAACCTAATATTTACAACCTAAAATATATATACTTCACTATATATTACAAAAGTTTAAATATGGAAAAAAAAATGTTTTTTTTTAACTTCTTTGCAGTTAAGACAACTGCTAGGGCAAAAGGCATTATTGGAGAATGTGACTAGGTTCTATCAATTATTCATATGCCATTTGACATGAGTATCCATGAGCATAGATAAATTAAATATGTTGATATACTACAGTACTTTTACGCTTGGAGCCTTAGCAACAAGGATAAAAAATCCTTCTAGCTTTTCAATGTTTTAGTTGCCCAAGCTACCGAGTGTCAGCCATTGTGACAGCTGGGAAGTTGTTAGTACTGCTCCTGCATCTTGATGCTCGCATGTCAGCTTTTCATTTTTCTGACCCAGCATAGTTGTAAGTGTTGGGAAACAATATTTTTTAATATGTTTTAAAATGAAGAAGATGTTTAGAAATAAAACTATATAATTATATTACCTGCATTTTTATTCATGAGTCTGTACATAGTAATACGAGATATAATGCACCAACTACAGAGAAAGGTGAAAACAAATGACAGGTGTCTCCACAAAGCTGTTAATATCAATGGTTTAATCATACATTATGACATTTGAGGCCAGATTAAAGGATAGGCCTACAGAACCTAAGCCCTCAGATAGTACATAGTAATACGAGATATAATGCACCAACTACAGAGAAAGGTGAAAACAAGTGACAGGTGTCTCCACAAAGCTGTTAATATCAATGGTTTAATCATACATTATGACATTTGAGGCCGGATTAAAGGATAAGCCTACAGAACCTAGGCCCTCAGATAGTTAAGTGCCACTGATCTTTATAAGACTAAGCATATATGATATTAAAATATTTGAAAGTGGGTGCCCACTTTGATTTGTTTGACAGGAACTTAAATATAATTCATAATAAGAGTGATAAACCACTTACATGTTTACTTGTCACTTGTATACAGTTTATGGAACTTTTTATTAACACAAATTAAGTAGACTGATTATAGATTGGCTGGTCTATTGTGAACTTTTAAAGCTATACTAGTGATTGCAATATAACTGTGGTGAGCTGCAACTTGTAGTGTTCTGAATTAAAATTCAATATGAATTCATTCATCATTTGCCACTATCTTAGCGGTAAAGAGGAACAAGAAAAAAAAAGATAAGGTGTTAAAACAAGTAGCTTTTTTTTTATAATATACAAGAATATGTATATAATTTACCAGCATCTTGAAAAAAAAAAGAACCAAAGCCATCAATGAAGTGGTAGGCATTAAAGACTGTCATTTCAAAAAATCACAGGTAAAACGTAGTGTTCATGAAGAGGATAGAATAAAATAAAAGTATTTCCCTGTTGAAGAATGAAGAACAAAATGAATGGTCAAATAAATATACAACTAATCACCAGATCAGTTTACTAATAGCTTGATTAGTTGGGAAAATTTCTGGATTTCCAAATGATCATCTGCATGTCAAAGTGAGATTATGAAATGATATTTTGCTTCTGCTCTGGTTAAATCCAGGGAAGATACAAATATCAAGTAAAGCTCTTTTTTGTTTTTTGGAAGCAGGATGTGCAATAATGTTGTTATGTGGGATTGGCTAATTTACTTGCCATCAGCTGGGAATATTTTCTGCCGTGTTGGAAAGCTGTGCTCAACAAGTAGGACATGTGCTTTTTTACAGAAGAGCTTGACCAGTGGAATGGATTCAGGTCATGCTGGGAATTTCAATTAAAATACCAGTATTGAGATATCCTGAAATGCTGTAGTGAACATGAAATAAGCATGGGTATGCTTTCCACATCCAGACAAGTTGTTCTGATAAACACACAATTGAAGTTACACTGGAAGTTTGAAGCTAGTAATCCCTTTCTGGCCAACCATCTTGCTCAATTCAAGCACATAGAAAGGTGACTATCATTGTATTTTGCTATATATTCATTGAACTGGTGAGAAATAAAATTAAGAATACAAATGTAGAAGAACTTCAACAAGCTAAACATTTTTCAGTTATTGTTTACTCAACTTTTGTACTCTACATTGGCATAGCCTGGAAATGTTTGCTACTATAGCAAAAATACAAATACTTCAAAGTTAGAAACTCTAGTTTGACATTATTAAGCATTACTTGCTGTTTATCCTGATTCAAATTGAAGTAGAAACCAAGTCCATAATTGTTATAGCTATACAATAAATATTTGTTATTTCTTGGGATTGGGTTATAATGGCTAATGGTAATATTCTTTCACACTACTAACTTACCCCACCCTCTCAAACAATTCTGCTGGATTTACACATAATTATGTGATCCAATCCTGATGGAGTAACTAGGGCCATCCCCCAGTTGACCACAATCTAGCTAAACAGATGATCCTTCAATTCTCTGGGGCAAAGTGTATGGATTAACTTAGTAAGGTCAAGCCACTTGAGAATGACCCAGGTGTAAGTCTATGGAATTGGATATCTAACTGCCCTGGAGAATTTAACGACAGTGCAAGCATTATGTTTAGTATATACACTGATGCACCATGTTCCTAGAGTTTCACATTTTTTAAACACGGTAGATACAATGACTTTCAGACATACTTGTCAGAAAAGTTTACAGCAAATCTCAGCTGTTTCTCAACAATACCAGACTCGGCTAAAGAGAAAACGGTTTGGATAATGTTACATGAATGCTTTGAGAATGCAATTCATTGGATATTACTGTTCACGGGAGAGTACTATTCCTTAGACATTACAGTCCATGGGATATTACTGAAGTGGGACAATACTGTTCATCAGATTGGAATGTGCTGTAGGCTATGCTGCAATTTACTTCCAGGAAATGAATCAAAACTTTCCATGGGATATTACTAAAGTGGGACAATACTGTTCATAAGACTGGAATGTGCTGTAGGCTATGCTGCAATTTACTTCCAGGAATTGAATCAAAACTTTCCATGGGATATTACTGAAGTGGGACAATACTGTTCATTAGATTGGAATGTGCTGTAGGCTATGCTGCAATTTACTTCCAGGAATTGAATCAAAACTTTCCATGGGATATTACTGAAGTGGGACAATACTGTTCATCAGACTGGAATGTGCTGCAGGCTATGCTGCAATTTACTTCCAGGAATTGAATCAAAACTTTCCTGCTGAATGTTCAATGTTTTTGTGCAGGTTAAACAACACAAGTCTCCAAACAAACTGCTGCTGGATTATAGCAAAGTTGTCTTCAGTCAGTGCTCCATAGTGTAAATATTGCCCTAAGAGTGGATCTCACTTGTGCCACTGAGAGTATGAAGAAGAGCATTTGCTCTCAAGTATACCAAGAATGAAAACACTGAGATCAACAGTGCAATGGAATTGTCTGTAACCTTGACACCCATGGCTGCAACATCAAAACTGGTAAAAAGAGGTGAATTTTGGCAACCTTACTTTTTATTTGGCCTTGCACAACTTTTGGATAATATTGAGGTTAAAAGGTAAGATGTAGTGTATAATATTTACATGTTGTGTTTTATATTACTTGCATTTTTAATAAATACTCTTTAAAATGCAATATAAAATTAAACAGATTAGTCTTTAGTGGTAAAAGTATTAGTAGAAAAGAATACCAACGACTAATGGAGACACTTTATTAGCCCTTCTTTCAGTCATGTTGCTCCTTCCCTCTATAATTTGCTGCCAAAAGTCATCCTAGTACTCCAAAAGAAATTGTTTTTATAATGCTTTTTACATTATCATTTTTAATATGACTTTATGAAGGGTTGCCAAGCACTTTCGGGTTTGTTGGAATGAAAGATACTACAGAAATTTGAGATTTACGCTACTTTGATGTTACTACACAAAAGTTTGTTTTTTTTATCTTCCTCCTGGCAATGAATCTCTTACTAGTTGTACATTCAAATTCATGATAATTCAATCTGTTTGTTAAACATTTTACTGTTGTGCTGAGATACAAAGAAGCTAATTTTTGTGTTACAGGGTTCTAAGTCTAAATAAAACAGGAAAGTTTACATAAATAAAATGTTTTACTGTAGTTACTTTTTAAAATGTTCAAAATAGAAGGTTTCTTTTGATAGGTGCATAATTAAACAGAAATATCTTGTCTATTGTTTACATGATAATTTTTGGGTTTTCCTGTCTACAAACATATTTTAATTCACTGTGAAAAATAAGTTGAGAAAAGTCATGGAAAATTAGCTTATTTCAGAGCTTGATATTCTGTACCTAGGACCCCAGTAATTCTTAATCTAGCTCTTGGTAACAAGCCATTTTAACAGCTTGTATGTAGAAAAATGAAAAATAATTTAATACAGATGCCTCATGACTATAAAAATATTTTGTAGTGTAAATTAGCAAACTCATAAACTAAATTTAAAACCAAACTATCAGTTATTAACAAGAATAAGTGAGCAATTTTTGTTCAAAACAAAATTCACTTATTTCTTCATCAAAATGACACTCCAAATAGTTTTTTTAATAAAAAAAAATATTTTTAAAACATAAAAGCAGGTTTCTCATATCATAAAGTGACTGTTTGGTGTAATTCATAAAGAAAAATTTCCTTTAACATTGAAAAATCATAAATTTTTCCGAACATTTTTAGTTCACAAGGATTTGATGGAAAGTAAAGGATGAAAAATATCTTTCTTGACATAATATTCTTAGAACTGTAAAAATAAATTGATAAACAGTGATGTTTAAGCATAATTGTGGTTTACTTTTTGGCGGAGCATACGACATGTTTCAATAGAATATTGGTATGTCTTCTTCAGGACAGACCAATGATCTAACAAAACACGTAGTATGTTCCCCAAAAAATAAATCACTTTATTATGCTTATAAATTGTTGTTTGCCAACTTATTATATTAGCATAATGTGTGTCCTTATTCAAGTATTCTTAGAACAGTATTTGATGAAGTAACTATCTTTCTCTGTCAGTTAAATAAAAGTTAAGCTTTATCCTCTCATAGAAATGCATTGTTCTGTTTTTAAATACAATGACCAGAATGGTATAAATTCCTAAAGAACTTTCTACAAAATGCACATTTGACAAAAAGTATGAAATTTAATATTAGATAATACTTGTGTATTGAATTATCAGTTTGAAAGTCATTATAAATAAGAAGTTTTACTTTCCTATACTTTGTTTTGAAAACTGTTTTCTTGGAACATAGCTGTAACTTTAAAACTACATGTGAAACACATCTTCATGATTTCTAGCATTAAGAACTTTCAGTTATCATCTTCAGTTTCATTCATCACCAGCTAAAGTAATTCCACTTATTACAAAATTTGTTTACAATACAATCTGCAGTTTTTATTTATTTATCACTGACACATAAAATACCTTTGGCTAATGTTTCCTACCTAAGACAACAGACAGTCAGAATCATTGTTTCCTATCATATCACTTGTGACTTTTTCAAATAACTAATTTTTCAAAATGGTGAAAAATGAATACACACACAAAATCACCCTAGATAGCCTCTATTAGGACTATTTAATTAACAGGCCCTTCTAAACATTAATGGATATGATATATTAACTTTCATCACATGACCTTATAATGACCAATTATTAGGTCAGGTCAATAATTCAGAAAGTAGACTTTGCATTGGAAAAGTGCTCTGACAAAGAATCTTTAGTAATTCATTTATTTTGAGTATATGAGGATAACCTGATCATTAAGGTTGAAACAACAGTATTCACACAGTAATTTCAGCAATGGAAAAATGATATATACAATATTACATTGAAATTCTTTAATCTTACTTCTACTTTATAAAAACATTTCTCACCTCATCTGACAATAGTAACTGCTGCACATTCACCGATCTAAAAGATGACATTGATAAGACACGTTAAACAAATAAAGTTTGGATTTCTGATAGAATATCACCACTAAATGAAATATTAAATAAATATCAAAAACTTATAAAAAAAATCAATAAATATCACAAAAAAACTTGAAAAATGAAGAAATAAAACTGAAAACATGTTCAAAATGGCAACAACTTGGCTTCATAAAAAAAAGATGGGTCTTTTCCTGATAAACTGAGATCACACTTCTGAGGAGAACATCAGAGTCCATGTAAAAAAAATTAATGCGTGTAAATGAGGTCAGTGAACATTTTGGATAGAGATGATTCCTCACCCTAACAGGAGGCATCTTTGTTACTGAGCTGATAGAAAGTTTGAGAGGTGGCTAATTCCTCACTTCAATGGGAGGGTTGGTAGCAGAAGCAGATAGGAGAAAGTCTGAGAGGGGCTAATCTCTCACTTCAACAGGCATCTATAGCAGAAACAGCCTTGCTACTGAGATAGTAGAAAGTTAGGAATGAGTTAATCCATCATTGTACAACACTTAATCCTCATTTTATTAAAACAAAAATACTCAAAACTCAGTCTGATTACTACTTACTTTTGTTTTAAAGGAATGTTGCTGGGCCATAAGTTGACATTCATTTTTATCACCACATAATTAGCATACAAACAACAGAATCATCAGATCAGTGCTTGATTTTGATAAACTATTATTTTAGTGTACTTTTTATTATTCAAGATAATGTGATCCAAATCTTTAATTATGATAAAAATAAAGTTATTTGGAATTGAAAGAAAAGTTAAATATATTCTTTTGTTCTAAGAAATCAGTACAACTTGGCCAGCTATGAGTCTAATTTAGTCCAATCATCACTCCAAAGAACCTATTCCAGACCAAAACTCATGGTGCAAATTCATTAATAAAAATGACAAATTAGAAACAAATTTCACATTGGATACTTTTTGTGACACATTATTTCCTATTAATAATGAAATGTAACATCTTTTTCAAACAATGTAATCTAATTATTAGTGGCTGCATATATGTAATTTTGATGTATGTTTTTAAAACCTCAAAGATACTATATAATAGACAGAGGGAGTTGGAGATTCACGGTGTTAACTGATTATGACTTTTAAAACAAAGTATATTGAGCTTCTTAAGAAATGCTAGCCTGAGCATGCACATAATAAATTAAGTCGTGATGTTTTAATCCTTGAAAATGTGAGACAGAGACAATGCATGTGGGTTTAAAAAAGATTCAGACTAGTAGATGTTCCTAACCAAAATGTCTAAGCTCACTAGTGAAACTCCCTTTAAATATTGCACTAAAACTGAACTAATAAGTCCTCTGAGTTTCATCTTTTAAGTTGTCAAAATCCCAACTTCATGCATTAGATTCCTTCAGATTATCAAAGTATTGCATGAGTTGATCATAGTCCATGCCCTTGGCTACTGTGTCCCAGTCCATCTGGTTAATGTCATCCAATGACAGGGGATTCTCTGTCAAAAGCAGGTTTTGATTTTCTCTCCAACCTTGTCTAATTGTCCCTTGTATGGGAAGATTCTGATGAGGAGGAACTGGTGGTGGTGTGTTAAAAGTAGACAAAGTTGTCTGATGACTCCATTTGCTATTATTAGCAGGGGCAACTGGAGGAGGTATTGGATTGGTTTGAATTCGCACCCTCTTTTCACGCGAAGTTTTATTTGTTGGACCAACATCCATAACTGATGGAAGATGCAAAGCATTCTCATTAGCTAGGCTGTTAACTGTGCCTTTCTCAATCAAACTTGTCTCATCCTCTGTATCATTGGCTGCTTGTTGTGGGTTGGTGGTTATGTGGATACTGATCTCTGACCCAGGGAATGAAACATTGCTTGCTCTACAGCCACTACCAACTGACCTTCCAGAGAGGGTTTTATCTCGATGTTGGACAGTCCCTCCCCTGTTGCCACGAACATCGCTCATGGGGAGTAGGGTCTGAGGGCAGCGAGTATTGAATGCACTTCTCTCAAGAGTAGCCCTACCTAGCCAAACCCAATCATGGGCATGAGCTGCAGACTCACCACCCTGGACAGCAGGAAGCTGCTTTCGCTTGTAGCGAACAGCAAAGACTGTGCAACTGACCACAAAAACCAGACTGGCCACACAGAAGACACCCAGCATGGCATATAGCCCAATCTCTAATGGGGTTAAATTAGCTCGATGCCTACCAACTGCATGCTGACGAGCTTGTACTGTGGGTTCATAAAAGTAGGGCTTTCCTTTTCCATGGCTGTTAACTCCATCCTGATAAAGCACATCATTAATATCCCTAACACCATCAATCCTGTTTAACTGTTTTTGACGAGAACCCAGTTTGCCTCGAAACCTGCCATCACTCAATACAGAACCAGTCAGGATTGATTCTGTAAAATTTACATAAACATAAGCATAAGCCATAGCCAAGGGCTGGGTTCGACGCTTTTGGCAATGGGCGGACAACTCCAAGGATACATGCAACAGATCCCCTTTACCCTGACCAATTGCAATAACTCTTGGGTGATGAAGTCCTGCCATTGGTGCAAATGCCACAACTCCACTGTCAAAGGTGTCCACTGACAGGTGATAGTCTGTCTCAGTGATATCAGAGAGAGAAGTCACAGTACCATCAGAGTAATGAATGTTAATATTCAGTAACCCTTCCTGTAGAAAACAAAAACAGTCTTTATTCATGTTATACAGAAATATTAATATAAGCAGCTATTTTTGAGAATGTTACCTTTATCAAAACAATATTGCTATAGTTATTCATATACAAGATGGAATATCAAATAGGATAGCTGGACCTTCCTCATTATATATATATATATATATATTAAAGCTTATACCTTAAAATTTCCCTAAAGAAATAGACCATTTCTTTAATCTACAATTGAATATTTTAAATAACTTCTAGTGAAATTTAACATTAGTAGTTACATTTCCACTTTATACCTGTTGTTTGCTGCAGTGTCACAGAATTAAGCTGATTTTTCAGAGCTTAGACTTTAACATAGTTACACTTCCTCTTTATGCTTTGCTCATCAAGCTGATACGTAGCCAGTATCTGCTTATTTGGATATTATATTACAAAACATCAGCTAGAATTGTTTAGTACTGCATCTATAATTAATATTGCTAGTTAACACAACACCACCACCCCTAAACATGTATGTTGAACAGTGTATGCCATTTATCAACTCAAATTACTTAAATATTGCCATGACTTAACAATCACTTTCCACATAGCTAAAATAGCTGGATTGAACTGTTATATTAAGTATACAGCCACAACCTTGTATTATCTTGTTTTGTCACTATTTCTGCCCTCCTTTTAAAAAAGGATGTATCACCTCATTGATGGAGGACAATAGTCTAATGCTGATTGAATCACAGACTGGCAAAGTATACGTCATTATGAGTAGAGGTAGGAATTCCTTGCAAAGGCATGGCACATGTGTAAAAAATCTTTTTGGCAGTGGTGTAAATTACTAGCTATGTTTTCTGTGGAGAGACATATAGCATTTCTGAACTGACAGGTTGATAACATATGATTCATATGCTATCATTGTTTCTCTACATGTGTTTTAATTAAACAGGTTGATACTAACTATCTCAGTCATTTATTCGATCACAATTTAGCTACATGTCTTAGGATTAAACTGACAGGTTGATAATATGGTAGGTAGTGCCGATTCTAATCTTATCATTATTTATTTGCATGTCTTATAATTAAATTGGCAGTAGATAATGTGATATAGCTATTGACCAGAAACCCACTAACACATTATTAATATATAGACTTTATCTTGAAATATTGTCTAAAACCACTTGCTACAATGAACAAGATAACACGAAATGTGTTACTGAAAATAGTAACCTTGACATTTATTCATACCAAGGAATTATTCGTAGATAATGTAGATAGTGATAATTCCAGTCATAAAATAGTAACACCTTACACTTATTTCTTACATTCTTCTCATAGTGCACTAACAGATCACAGTGAATCCTTAGTTGTTTAATAACACTAATTTAATTTACAGGAGACTCTCTAAGCTTTTACCCTTCCTCAACCAGCTCAGGTAATTTACGGAATGTCGTATCACGAATTTCACTTGTGTAACAATACATACTGTAACTCTTGAGATTTTTTAACACATTCTCTCAAAAACTGGTAAGATTTTGTTAAAGATCATAAGTATCTTGTACACAAAGAATGACAATATTTTAATTGAGTATTTTTATTAAAAATATGTTATTTATCTATTGTAGTTACTTGCTCTCAAACTCTTAATAAATTGAGTGCAAGGTGATTTTTACTTTAAGTATAAAAATACTTTTAATCCTCTTATAGTTTTCATATTTTATATGCATAATCTCTAGAATCTTCTAAATGAATATCAAAAGTTATTTTAAGGTAAATGTTCATATTTTATTTTTAATTTTCTCTACCATATCACTAACTCGGCTCCTATCATCAACATACAGTGCAATGAAATGATTAAGATTAGGTAATAGACAAAAAACACATACCTTTTAATTTTTTTTGTAGAACATCTTTAAATATTTTCTTTTGGTTATATTCGTAATTTCAGGTCTTTTCCTTTTCACATATAGTTAATTTTTAATGTTTTATTTTCTTTCTTGTCCTTTACCATTTATTACTTATCTCGACACAAGTCAACAGTGCCCTTGGGGCATATTACAGTATCTCTTGCAGTGATGCGCAACCCTTCAGCAAAATTGTTGTGCACCACATAATATTGTAAGCCTTGAGAACTGACTCAGAGTATGATGTATAATTAAAAAATGTTTAAACCTTTCAGTTATGCATTTTAAAACATAAATAATACATAATTAACTAAAATATAAGCTAAGACTTACACACAGTTTAACTGTATCTTTAACTATAACATATTTAGGTAACTGATAAAAACAGCATGCCAATTTCAAAATAACTTGTTGGATTATAGTGTAAAATTACCTCTTTATAATGACTATATACATGCATATGTAACCTTTACATGTAAGCTATAAAGCTATTGAAGGTTGGCATGGCACTAGTCAGGGGTTGACAATATTTATTACTTGTTTCAACTCCATTCATCCAGAGAACTTTGAAATGTATGTGTCTATAGGTTAAGTAAACGCTGTAGTGTTTAGTTGATATAAAGCTTAAATAACATTCAGCATACTAGTGTTACTGTAGTTATTTTTTGTACAGTTAACCCCTTTTGTTACTGGGTACCCATTTAAACACTTTTCTGTGCAAGTCACTGTTATATTCAGAATGTAATTACACCTTTACTATCAATATATGTGAATGAAATTAACATTATAATGTATGTTATGATTCAAAATTTTATGTTATCTAAGTTTTAAGTCCTTTATTTCATAAGAAACCTTAAAAAATACTTATACTTAAGATGTATTGTAACGTGACTCACTAGCTATGTAACGTGACTCAATAGCTATGAAAATTCTTTAATTTCGCCCTACGTATCTTCAATAATATAATGCCTGTTGTGTGGATGTACATCTGGACAATAAGACAAAATAAATAACAATAAAAATAAGAGAGAAGTGATTGCTACTAGCTGGTTGCTTCTGTGTAGTATATGGTTTGGAATCAGGGATGGCTTCGAGCTACCTAGACTGTGTACTGACAAATGTGCTCTGATTGGACTATATTATTAAAGAGAGGAGAGCCTGTGCTTTGGTCAGTGCTAAATTCCTACATTATGTAAGTCATTCATTGAAACAAATCACAGGGCATTGAATAACCAAAATTGATCATTTTCTTTATTTTGGTGTTGCTAATACAATCACATTTCTTGAAAAGTTTAATTTTTTCTATGAATTGATCTTTTATTTCAGGTATTGTCACCAATCACAGGTCGTGTGATCGGTGCCCGTGAAGTTCGAGTTGGTAGTGACAAAGAAACAATTACCCAGTTGGAAGTCAATGTTGTTACGGGACTACAACTCTCCGTTCGTCCTGATGATGAGATGACCAATGTATTTTTAGCTCGGGCAGCTATCAGTCATCACTTGACTACTCAGTACCAAGTTAGTACAGAATATTGTTTCTAATATCTTTAAAGTTTAGACTACTCTTTGTATACTAAATTAGCCCTACTGCAGTGTTATATTGATATAGTTAAAAGTTAAATATTCTCTACACTAAATTAGTGTTATAATTATTTTTTATTTATTTTAACATCAAGTACCAATGTAAATAAGATTTTATACCAATATTTCTACCGATATTATACATCTGAGGAGTTTGACAGAGGTTCTTTTTCCTCCAATAATCTCAGTATTCTTCTAATACAATGTCCAATTCAACTGATGTAACTACCATTTGTCCTTAGACTTTTCAAAAGACAAAATTTACCACAACAAAATTCCTGCCTTCTCTAATTCACATGCTTTGTTATACATTAAATATATATTGTATGCTAAATATTGCACTTCTCTAACAATGTTATACATTAAATATGTATTGTATGCTAAATATTGCACTTCTCTAACAATGTTATACATTAAATATGTATTGTATGCTAAATATTGCACTTCTCTAACAATGTTATACATTAAATATGTATTGTATGCTAAATATTGCACTTCTCTAACAATGTTATACATTAAATATGTATTGTATGCTAAATATTGCACTTCTCTAACAACTAATGTACCTGCACTTCTGTTCGTCCACTGGCCAGGCCCTGAATAGCTGAACCTTTTAGCATGGCTATCCTAGAATCAGCTACACGCAGGAATGGTGATACTAGTTCGGTGATACGAAGAGGGGCCTGTCTGCTAAGAAGATAAGCTTCTCGCCCAGAGTTATGATCTACGCTAAAGAAGCGAGTATAGACAGTAATCCCAGCTTGTTGATAGCGCAGTCTGCACACAACATCCAATGGCTAAAAATAAACAGTAGTATGTTTTACTGTAAACACTATTGCTAGTTAAACGTAAACAAAAGGTTAAAATCTTATAAGTTTGTAGAATAAAATATAGTAGATGTAGGTCCTAAACTGTTGATGTCCTAGTCTACAATTCACATACCCTCCCCATGTGACTACATTAGCTTTTACTACCATGAAAAATTTAAATATAACAAATACATTTAAAAAGAAGAAAAATAACATATTCCTGTAATTTATATCTTTATTTCACATTCATTTCTGGTGCTGATCTTCAACAACATTTTGTAAGTGTTTCTCTAATTACACTGGATGTGTGACAATGAAAAGTTGGGCAAAACAGCATGCAATTGGCTGAGGCTAACATTCAAAGATGCTTTTGAAATTAATGTTTTTTTCCTGTGTAACATCCATAACAACTTAATGTTCAAAGATTGAGATATAGCACCAAACAAACCTCATATAATTAGAGACGTAGCGTCAAACCAACCTTACACGATATACAACAGTAGATATGTAGTACTAAAAGAACCTTACAGATATACAACAGTAGATATGTAGTACTAAAAGAACCTTTCATAATATACAAAAGAGATGTAGCACCTAACCAACCTTACATTATATACAACAGTGGAAGCACTAATCCAACCTTACATTATGTAAGACACTAGAGATGTAGCACCTAACCAACCTTACATTATATACAACAGTGGAAGCACTAATCCAACCTTTCATTATGTAAGATAGTACAGATGTAGCACCTAACCAACCTTACATTATGTAAGATAGTACAGATGTAGCACCTAACCAACCTTACATTATATACAACAGTGGAGATGTATCATGAGCCAACCTTACATTATATTCAACATTAATAATTCCAAATGGAGAGATATTAAAAGGCTATAAAGCCACAAATTCCTTGAAACAGTTGCATTACCTCTCTGTCTGCATCCCATTTTTTCTTTTTTCCTCGGGACCTGTTCTCAGCACGGTTACCAGGAGTAACAAGTGAGGGCCAGCGAGACTTTCTACAAACAAGTTTATGTTTAAAATGTCAATAACTATACATTGCAAGATATTCTGTTTAACCCTTCACTGCTGTGAAGAAGTACTGAATGTATCCTTTCATATTTCACTGATATGCTTTAAGGATGTATATATAGATCATCTGGGTGTCAAAAGATTACTGTATATATATATATATGTGTTGAAAAAATATATAGCAAAGAACAACTATTAATGGAAATGGTAACTAGTTCTAACTACTTGGGCCTGCAATGTAAAAGAGTCACGAAATTCCGTCAACAGTAATAGTTTGATAATCTTCAATTCATGTGGTTATTCATTAGACAAGGATCTTGCCTGTTAGAGAATGGTAACAGCAACCAACAGAAAACTGAAACATTTATTGGTATTATTCAGAAACCTAAGATTTAAATGTACTGGTTAGCTGGTCTTCATTTCTCAAACATATGCTCCACATAGATGTTAAAAAGTGTGTCAGCAGTGAAAGGGTTAAAAATCTGTATAGCAAGCTGGTGTCAATATTAATCTTCAACAGAATTATCATCTTTCTTATTTTAACTTTAGAGTGTGAAAATTATTGATAGGTTGTTTAGACAGAGTATTCATAATGAATCTAAGTTTCAAATGGACAGCAACTGCCTGTTGTAGAAACCTACAAACCTGAAGACAAAAGGCAGAAGACTTTCGAAACATCGTCCACTACATTTGTAGGTTTCTACAACAGGCAGTTGCTAGTTGCTGTCCATTTGAAACTTAGATTCACTGTGAAAATTATTATACATTCATTTTTATGAGGCTATAACCCTATAACTCCATAGGATTTGTTTTTGTCACTGATATCATACTTCAAATTTTGTGACAATACTGTTAATACATGTATCTGTAATAACAAAAATAATTAAGCAAAACAGGTAAGCTTTATATTGCCTTCATCCTGTTATACAAGATGCTATTATTTAATAATTTATTTATGCTATAAAAATCCAGTAACAACCACCGTCTGGCATTATCAGGCTCTATTTAGTATAGGTTCTTTTTCTGCTATTCAATTTATTTTACTCAACAGCTGTTGTCTCAGTAGTTGAAAATTATATAGTGTATTTTTTATTCTTTGGTTGAGTTTATCATGAAAACCAATTCCTTTAATGAATCAATGCTCTAGGTTGATTTATTCATAATTTAATACAGAACAACCTATGTTTCATAAGTGTAACATGAAATTCTAACTGATTTTGTTAGTATTGAAAAAATATGATTTAATGTCAAAGTAGAAAAAAAAAGAATGAACTCAGTATATGAGAATAATATGATTGTTAGTGTGCATGTTTAGCATGATATGCTTTGTACTGACTGATACCCCAGTATGAAAATAAAGGTGGTTTATAATTTTGTGACAATAGTGGAAGAGCAGAGGATGAAAGCTAATGGTATAAAGCCTTGATGAAAAGAGTGAAGATTCAATCAAAAGGAACAAGTTAAAGTTAAAGGAACAATTCAGTGGAAGGTAAAGATGCATTTCCAGTAAAGTGATGGCATGAATAGAGCAAGTACTGAGCAAAAAGTAGATGTTAAAAAATATATATATATTTTTATCTTTATAGAATACACCAAGTGACTTTACACATGTGTCACAAAAATAAAATAACTCATTAGCAGGTGCAAAACAGTCTTTTTTTTGTAACTTCCAAGTCTCTTCTAAAACTTTTAATCAAACAGCAATAGTTTTCTTGAAATTTAGATGGTACTAATATCTTTTGTAGCTTAACACCAAAAGATTCTATATCATATATAACAATTAAATAGCATTGAAAGATTCTACATCATATATATAATAAACTATAATTAACTATCCAATACTTGGTTATTCAGTAGAGCATGAGTAACAATCCACTATTTGATTATTCAATAACAGGTATCTATCCTATATTAAGTTATTACTTAGAACATGGTTAACCATCCAATACTTGGTTATTCAGTAGAGCATGGTTAACAACTGATGGTTAGCTAAACTGCATATCCCTACCTTCTTTGGAGTCTAGGTGTTCTCCAACCTTTCACCTGACTAAGCTTATTATCTGATAAGTTCACCTCCAAAGGCAACTGGGGCATCCAAACTAGAAAATGTGCTTGACCAGTATATGTCCCATACTTCACTAACACTGATGCATTTTGAGAACCTCTGATTTCTGAGCCATCTAAGTATACAGATGTGCAAGAAGGTGAAACCTGTTGAAATGGGTTATTGTTATAACCATGTTCTTTTATGTAAAAATATTTTACGGTTTTTAGAAAAAAATCACTTAAATTAATTAACATGAAAACACAAATGTAAGAATCCATAAATGTTTATTGTGCAACTGACCAAGTGTAGTTAAAAAGCCATTATCTTTATACAGTAAGTAAAGAATAACATTATCAAAATGATTGCCAATCTTAATGTAAAGTCATATAAAAACATCAATTAAAATAAAACAAGGTTTTCTTCAGTACTAACATATTTCTCTGTGTTTGTGTTTCTAAACAGTTACAGGAACAATAAATACTCGTAGTGTAACATTGCTTGTCCATTGGATACTTGTCCATTGCATCAATGTAATGTTTGGCTAGACAACACGTCATAGGATACATGGTCCTTATAATAGGGTTCGTACAAGTTTGGGAAAATCTTGGAAAATTGTGGAAGCAATTTCCAGGGCCTGGAAAGTTTTGAAAAAATGAAAATTTATGCCAGGGTTTGAAAAAGTCATGGAAAATGAAAACTTTCTGCTGTCAGTATTATAAACCAGTGTCTTCCAAAATCTGTTTATTTGATGATTGCATTGTATAATATCTGATGGCAACGATCTTCTGAGCAAGCCCATCGTATTTTCCCTTAGTGATGAGCATGTGGTGCACATGCGCATGCGTGAATAGTTTACTTGAATTACTTCAGCAGTACAAGGTTGAATGAGGCCGTTGTTGTCTGAGCAATTATGTAATTACAATTCCTCTATTTTTCCATCATTATTTTTATGTTCTGTGGTATTGACTTGAATGTGTACTTGCTTAAAACATGCTCAGCAAATGTACATTTAACAATGCGTGGCTTCTGAAGGATAAGTACGAGAAATTGCTTGTTACAGGTGCACAAGAGAACACCTAGACTCCGAAGAAGGTAGCGATATGCCGTTTAGCTAACCATCAGTTTTTAACCATGCCCTAATGATATGCCAAGAAGCTTGTTGCAGTGTGTGTGCCATAACAAGTTCAATATTGGCAATTTAGGCAAGTCTGCTATGATAAACCATATGAAGGGGAAAAAGCACAAGGCATGTCGACCATACACAGTTCATTATCATCTGAATCTAGGCTATATCGACAGTTAGGCCTACTGTTGCGACAAATCCACGCAATGCCGTAGTCTAGCAAATAAGTGAATAATATTCCTAAGTTAACTTTAATATTAAACAGAATGGCCAAATTGCAATGATTTAAAGGCACAATACAATTTAATAAAGTTGTGTTATTTTGCAATTAGCTATTGAATAATTCACTTCTTTTCATCTAGGTATCAGCACCTCATTATAGAATTTATTCATTGCAGGGCAGACTGGATTCATATGTTTCAAAATAAGAGGAGTGGAAAGCTGAGGTTTTGTGGGTCCTGAAGACCATTGTTAGCCAACATAGTTACAAAAGTTGTGAAAACATAAATGAACTGTTTAAAAAATTTTTTTCAGATAGTGTAATTGCATCCAAGGTCTCTTGTGAAGAGAAAAAATGTGCATATGTGGCTTGTTTCAGATTGTCACCATATATCAAGCTAAATTTGTACCAAAAGTTTGGAAAAGATAAACTTTGTGCTCTAGTATGACAAATCGTTAAATTGTAAAAATCAAAGAGGTCCAATTAGATGTGTACTTTCGGTACTTTGATTCGGAATAAAATCTTGTGATGAGTAAATTTCTTGATTCTACATTACTCGGCCACATACAGGCTAATAATTTCTTAAGTCATTTCTTACAGCTGACAAAAGAGCTTAATCTTAGTCATCTCTTGCAAATAGGAATTGATGATCCAAATGTTAACTGGTCATTCCATGAGAAATTAAAAACTACAAATTAGGACCCATCTTTAATCAATATTGGGTCTTGTGGTCTCCACACAGTCCATGGAGCTCTTCATACTGGGTTCAAAGCCTCTGATTGGGATTTAGAAGTGATACTTAAATCAATGTATCACCTTTTCAAAGGTTCTCCAACCAGATGGGAACACTTTGTGAAAATTTTGTTCTACCTGATTGGTAGAGGATGCACCTGTTGCACAATTTGCGATTGAAATTATTCCAAATTTCCAAACATACATCAAAACAGTGGATGCCAAATCAAACTCTTATACAGCAACAAAAAGTCAAACATTTAATACTGTGAAATCTGCAACAAATGATATCCTTTCCATAACAAAGTTATCATTTTGTGTTTTGAAATATGCAGAATTCTCTCCATTTCTAAGGAAATATCAGACTGATAACCCTGTACTACCTTTTGCCAACTGTGATCTTGAGTCTATGATAAGAAACTTTCTGAGATGGGTTGTAAAACATGATGTGCTATCCAAAACAGACACTGCATTTCAGTTGTTAAAAACTGATTTAAGCAATAAGGAAAATATCAAATAGGCTAAGCCATTATCGGTTTTGTGCAACAGAAAATATGAAAGTATTTATTGCCACAGAGAAGACAACACCAAGAGACAAGCTTGCATTTCGCAATGAGTGTTTGTCTGTTTTGATCTGTTTAATTGAGAACCTGCTAGTGAGGTGTCCATTGAAATACTCATTTACTCATAATGTCAACTGTTTTTCTCCTCTAAAAATTGCTTCAGATGTGATGAATAGTAAAACTCATTTTCAGTGTGTACTGTCCATTCTTGTTAATTCAAACATCTTGAAGAAAAAGAATGTGATCACTTAATCAAACATTAGACTTGTTTTTATCTCAGATTGTAAAGCCAAATTTCTGCATCTTCAAGGATTTTGACCTCAAAACCGATAGGCTTGACTGATTTTTGTTCAAACATATGGGCCAAGCTACAGATTAACCCTTTCAAGTGGGGTCACAGGTGAAAGGCCAGGTCATTTCGTTTGTTAACTCACATTCAAAATTTTATTGAACTACTATTTCATGAATTTATGTCAATAATTTTGGTATCAAACTGTAAATTATAATTCAAATTTTAGAACTATACATTACTCAAATTGTTAATTTAAAAGTAAATATTAAAAAAAACACAGATAAACATCAATTTTTGTGTGTCACATGGTATGTTGAATGCAACACTGGTTCAAATTAGATGTTTGGAGAGTCAAAATACTAAAGCTATAGTTTCATACAAATTAGAAACTCAAATTACAGATATTGAAAAGCTAGAATATAAAATAAGGTCTTATTTTTTTCTATTTGCTAAGATATTGCTCACGTAATAAATGAAACACAATGGCACCATGCCCACCTCTTTCCATTTTTGAAAATGGTTCCTTATATACACGTACTTCTATATATGACATGAATAACCAATCAGCAGCTCAGAATGTCCCCTAGTGGTTTTCTCAGCCTTTCTAACATTCCTTCCACCATTTGTTTTTTTTTGAACCAAGGTTTCAATGAGGTAGATTGTGTTTTTAGTCTGCTCGAAATTTCATTTTTTTTAGACCCAAATAAAGATTAATTACTAAGCTTGATAAATTATAGTAGAATTAAATGGTATTGATGTAGTAATTTATGATTTTTTTAGTTATTCAAATGTATATATAAAATCTAAAAAAAAA